AATTTACAACCATGAAAACAATATTCTTAATATTAGAGAGAAATTTGGGGACACCTATTTGAAGAGGACAAAAGTGAGACTCATAGATTGAGTGATTTGCTCAAGTTCATAGTGCCAGTTAGCGGTTAATCAAGGCTCGAACTTTATTATTTCATGCCAGTAGGTGAAAAAGACTATGATGTTACATACGGTTACATGATAAGGTATGTGAGTCAGCTAAGAGCGATTAAGTGATTTAAGGACAAAAAGATACTGATTTGACTGATAGTGGGAAAGTAGGCTTCCTGAGGAGGTGAGACCAGAGGTAGATCTTAAAGGATGTGTAAGATTTGGGCAGGTGGGATGGAGAGGATGAAGACCTTCCAGATTATGTATACTGGTCATCGGGGCCAGAGAGTGGCATAGCAGTAAAACGTGACACTCCTAGGCAATCCCACATGGGAAAGCTCCCTGCTCAAGTTTGGTGACCTCCCTGATTGTCCCAGACACATGCTTGCTCATGATCTGTGGATGGTTGAAGACTGGGTCCCAGGATTGGGACTCTGTTGAGGGTGCTATCTCTCTTTCTCTGTTTCTGTCTCTGTCTCTCACTCACAGAAGAATAAACTTATAAAAGTAAATGCTGGTGATTGCAAAAGCAGAAATGCTGGTGATGGAGGCTGGGGAAGACTAGATTCTGGAAGATGCTGGACATCTTAGTCCACCTCTAGCTGGCACACCTCATTCAAGGATGACAAGGTGGGGTAAAGGCTTAAATGGAGGCAATAAGGGATAGCAGGAAGAGCATGGCAGCCAGTGTAAGAACACCTGGCTTCAAGTCCTGGCACCTTTGCCTTGTACATCGTAAGCTTTCTTAACCTTTGCAGGTCTGGTTCTTCATATGCAAAGTGGTTATACTAATATCTTGAGGATAAGCGAGAATAGGTGATTGAAGAGCCCAGTTTGTTCTGAACAGAAGTATGTTCTCAATATATTGTGGGTGCAGTTATTGTTTTAAGTATGATAATTCCTAGATCTGGCCAATACAAGTTTTCTGGGAGACTCGTTTCTTCTGTGAGTTGCCCATTTTATGTACTGTTCTCAGCATAACGGACATTATACGGATGTGGCACATAAGAATGGATATGGTCTTGGCCATTGAAGAACTTCGAGTTGAAGTGACAGCAGCACACGCTTTTGCTAACAGATACTCACAAACATAGCTAACAACTCCAACTGGAGAGTTGCTACCAAATCCACGAAAATCTACATTTTAAGAAATGTAGTCAGCTGCCTTTGACTAGGTCTTATCTGTTCAGTGTTGAGTGGTTTTTTTTTTTTTTTTTTTTTAATAATAACCTATCTTTCTGACTAGTTTAAAGATTGATTTTAAAATGGTTTTTGATGCAATTAGGTTATGCTATCTGGACAATAAACTCACCTTAACCTAAAAAAAAAGAAATTTATGTCTGTACTCAAACATTATTACTTTTTTTTGGAGAGGTGTTTGCTATAAGGTGCGTGTGCTCACCAGAAAGACAGAGAACAGAGAGAGAAAGTGAGAAATCACCCCCCATGGGGGATGGCCACGCCGCAATCCCTTCTCCTCCATTCTCCTCTCGGGATCTTGGGCATGCACACACACATGCCCGGCTTCAGTCTAAGCCACCTGGTCTGGGACTCGAACTGTGGTCAGCTACATGGGAGTTCAGTGATATAGCCATTACACTAACTACTGGTCCCGAGCATTGTTACTTAATGTACAAATGTTCATTGAAATAAAATTCTAAATGATTAATAGACTCATACGCTGAGAATTTTTATCATTTGCTTCTTTCCATAGTGAACTGATCTTTAGCAATCATTAGGGTGCCTAAAGACATTTTCACTTTCTCTGGTTGGTGGAGACAGCAAGATACAGAGGGACATGGGAAAGCTGAAAGGATTTGAGCTTTGTGGACAAAAAAAACTGGGCTACAGTCCCATCTTCCTGCCACTTCCTGACTGAGTGATTGTGGGCAATCCTTTTAGCCTTGTTTTAAATAGACATCCACATCTGTAAAATGGTGCTAATTCTGCCTCACAGGGTCGTTATGAAGATTAAATACAATAATGTATTTTAGTATATTAAAACACTATGTGAATGTTAAATCACTAAGTAAATGTTAGTTGTTGTTCCACTTGGGTGGAAAAGGGCATTATATTTCTTGGGAAAGTTTCTTTTAGTACTGAGAAGATGACTCAGGGAGTGTCTTGAATTTGAGATGAACAGGAAGACAAGAATGATTAATGCAGCCAGAAACTGCAGAGAGAATAAAACAATAACAGCAGCTGCAATTTAGTAAGCCCCTAATATATGCTATTCACCCTATATAAACTCCCTGAAATGTTTACAACAGTCCTATCAGGTGCCTACTAGTTCCATTTTATAGACAAAGACACAAACTCAGAGAGATTATCTGATTTTTCCCAAGGCCCATGTAGAAAGTATCAAGATTTTGTTTATCATCTTGGAGCTGCCTGACTGAAATAGAACACATCCTTTTAACTTAATATAATGTTTAATATTGTGGAATAGGTCAACTGAGACATGCACAAAAAAATTTTAAGAACCTTTCATTTTAAAAATTAGTGGTCCTTGGAGTCAGCAGGTGGTGTGGTGGTTAAGGTGCTGGATTCCCACATGGCCTACTGCATTTTGAGTCCTGGACCTGGTGGCTTGAAACTCACACTGGGTGTGTGTGCGTGTGTGCCTAAAATCCTGGGAGGAGAATGGAGAAGGGATTGCAGTGTGTGTAGGGGGTGAGTTCTCATTTCCCTCCTTTGTCTTTCTCTGGTGACTGCATGTACCCTATGGCAAAAACAAATGAAAAAAAGGTGTCCTTGAGTCATTTAGAAAATAATAATAACCATGATGCTCATTATATACTGGAAAAGTCATGACACATTTTTGCATTAAAAAAACCCAGACAAATATGCCTTGAACTTTTCCAACCATCCAATACTTTGTACCCAGCACTACACTATACTCTTTATACACATTTTCTCACTTAATCTTCAACAGCCTCAAAAAGAAGATACTATTGCCATTTTGTAGATGAGGAGACAGACCTACAGAGGTTAAGAAAGGGCATTTAACCACTAGGCAGAGATGCCAGGACTTGAAGCCAGGTTTTTCTGACACCGGATGTGGTGCTCTTTCTACCATCCCATATTGCCTCCATTTAAGCCTCTACCCTGCCCTTTCATGCTTAGATGGAGCATGCCAGCTATAGGTGGGTCAAGAGGTTCCCCAGCCTCTTCCAGAGTCTAGATCGTCTCAGCCTCCATCACCAACATTTCATTGCACCTAGTCTGGAAGGTCTTCTTTCTCTTCATTCTGCCTGTCCCAATCCTATAGGTCCTTCAAGACCCAGCTGACGTCTGAACTCTGAACTCTTTCTTCTGTACCACACTAGGAGTAGTCAGACACCATTCCCTAACCATTTAACTCAGAGGTTTCTCTAAAATGCTTGCAATGATAAAGACCTTTAAAAGGGTATTTGTCGTAAGATATAAACTAATGTATCTAGAAAACTATTCCAATTATGCAATTATGGCTGTTATTTATAGAAGTAAATTCCATTGGTAAGTTTTAGCAAAGCACTTACAGTAGAGTGGTTTGGATCAAATCCAGGCTGTTCACTTGTTAATGTATTATTTATATTAACAAAATCAAATGTTAGGCTGGGCACCATCCCCTCCCCCTTGCTCAATACCCCATGTTTATCAAGGCTATTGCTCTTCTTGATAATTAGCAAACATACATTTCATGATATGCTTCATAATTTCTGAGACTTTGATAACATTTGGAAATACAGACCTAAAGGACCAACCAATATGAAGGGCAACCCACTCAATCAATTTTGCATCATTACCCACGAAGCTCTTTCCCACTGTTGTTTAGAGAGATTCAAGATGAAAAGAGGTCATGGTTTACTGTTGTTTTATGCACTCCCTCATCCTGCACTCTGCTGGGTTGTTTGCCATGAATTACTCATTCTCTCCCAGGTGGCTCTCAGCAGCAGTCAGATATTCAAGAACTATATATTTCATCATGGCCATGTCACATACTTCCCCCTCTGTGCTCCAGTCCTTCCCAGTCTGAGTCATCATATGCTTGATTATCTGTGTACCATTAACCTACCTTTATTATCCTTTCCCTTCCCAAGACTTCTATAATATGACAAGCAAGTTATCTATGACTCAAGTGGGGAGCTGGGTAAGGGGAATAGGGAGTACCACCTGAACATAATGTCCTGGAAAACCCTATACCATCATCAGCTGTTTATCATGACTTCCAGATGGGTGCAGGCAGAACCTGGCCCTAGAATGAACTTTCAGTGCTGGCTCCACCACTCAATAGCTCTGGCTGTTGGTAAGTCCTTATGTCTGCTGAGTCTTGGGTTTCATTTCTGAACAAGAGGCTAATACTACACCTATCTCATAAGATTGTTGTGAAGATGATAGAAGACCACTGACATGAAAATCCCAGAATCCCCCATGAACACTATCATGTGTTAGGGAGGGATTGTCTCCCAGGAGCTGTGGCTACTAGTAATGGAACACAGTTACTACCAAACTGGCACAGCCAGGAAGGAATAAATACTTGGACCCTTCCATACTTTGACTTTCTGTCATTGCCTCCTATTTGGTAAACCTAGACAGAAGCCAGAAGTTCAGGGGGCCCAGGAAAACTGGAGGCACAAAGTGCAGGAAGTCTTAGGCCAACTTGGGGAAAACCAGTGCAAGATCATGAGAATGCTAGCATAGATGATATGTATGTGTAGAAGAAAATCAATGAACAAAGATAAGCAGACTTTAAAGAAACAGGAATGGCTGTTTCCAAATTTCTGTTTCCAGTTGTTTGGTGATAACTCAGAATATATTTTTCCTAGATGTATTTTAAATGCTGATTCAAGTTTCCACCTACTCCTGAAAAGCTCTGAGATTTGTATTTATTTGAAACCTTGTACCCATAGGAAAGGGCTGAATTCTGGGTGTCGAGAGCCAAGAGGCATGTGGTGACAGGAGAATGAAGAGGCACTGTCTCTCCTTGCCCAGGATATGGGATCAGCTCTGGTAAGTTTCTAACTGGGTAGAATGCTCTGTTCTTCTACCTCATTTTGTCCCCAAATAGTTTCCGTGATTACTGATTTCCCTCTAAACTATATTTCATGCTTCCAAACTATCCATCTCTCTATCTCTCCTTAATCATAAGTGGCTCAGTGCCTAGATTCCAGAGTTGGTCTTGAATTTCTCTACTTTAGATTTTGCAATTTCCCACCTGTGGCATCGGGTTGTTCAGTTTAGTTAAGCCTCTCTGAGCTTCCGTTTATGCACTACCTGTGGGACAGCAAAGTTTTGTCACTCCAGCTAGTTAGAGAAATGACTTGAGAAACCTAAAGACTGACTTAGACTTTCCTTGAGGGTTTGAGAACGCAGTCTGAGTTTATCCCAAGAGTGGGAAAGGTCAGGTGTCAGCCACCATCTCTCTTAAATGGCAATGTTTAATAAGGGCATGAGTCTTTCTGAAAGAGTGGGCTGTGGTGTGGCATACAGTTAACTCTTTGGCTCTGACTGACACAGATGTCAGTGACTACTGGGGATTCGGGGCTCTGAAAACACTGTGGCATACAGTCTGCTCTTGCTCGGTGGGACCGCTCACCTTCTGCTCAGACTCCGTATTCTTTTATAAATATGTCAGAAGATTTGACTAACTTAGTGTGTGTGTACCTATGTATGTGTTCCGGTAATCATGTGCATGCTTACATGTGGTCTTTTTCTATCAATCTATGGTTCCGTAGTCCTCACATTTTAGCAAGCATCAGAATCACCTGGGGAGCCTGTTAAATGACACCACTAGACCCACCCCCAGAGTCTCTGATTCACTAGGTTTGTAGTAGGGCCTGAGAACTTGCTTTTGTAGCAAATTCCCAGATGCTGCTAGGGCTTGGGGACCACACTTTGAGAACCACCATGTCCTCGCTCTAAAATGTTTTTTTCAGACTTTTTGATCAGGTCGAATGAGGAAATCCACAGGATTCTTAACACAGGGTCTGGCACCCAGTGAGCGTCTGCTGCTAATACCATGACTGACAGCTACCATGACAGCAGCTGCTCCTTACACCTTGATCATTCAGCTGCTACTTCTGCTTAGTAAGCCTTCATTCCAGATAATGTTAGTTAGGTATTAAGAGCAGGGCAATCTGACTTAATTAAGGAATATAATTACCTCTCTGGGAGAGATTTGCATTTTAAAGAAGCTAGTTAATTCAAAGAGACTTGTAATTTGAAGAATATCAGACACTGTGATAAAGAGATATACAAAACTTCTGGCAAAGTATAGTGAAAGATACTTTGGGGAGGATGCGGACCGTATAGACTTTTTGCTGGACCATGTCTTTATAAGGATGCTTGGTATTTAGGATTCCACATTAAAAAAAAAAGTCTAGGCTTATCCACAAAATGGTTCATGTAGTAGAGATTGCACATGGCTAGGGTGTGGGTTAAGGCAGCTGTGGTCATTCATACATAGAGGTTGGCGAGTCTCGTGTCTATAAACTTGGCAATGCTTGCATTGTGCTTATTTATTCAATCATATAGCAGAAGATGTACGTAAGATTTATTGAAAAGTATGACTTCCAATTTCATGCTGAGAATAATGCAGGAAGTTCAGTAAAATAGAATTATAATAAAATGGTAGCAGAACGACATTGTGTTTTAAATTGTGGAATTAGGAGGTAGAAACTAGTTGGAAACCAATCTTCTGAAAATCCTCTGAATGTAATTTTGATTTGGAGACTATGAGTTGATATGAGAATATCAAGGAGAATACGGATTTAATTTGGTGACTTAACCCCAGAGTATACATAAAGAACAAAACTAGTATAATGAACAACAGTTTCAGATATAACTTACCGGCCATTTTGATAAAATGAGTATTGACATGCATATAAATGTCAACATCATTTTTTTGTTGTTTTTAGTTTGGTACTAAGTTATGCCATAAGACTACAGCAGTTATAAAAATTAGTAGTAGTTAAAAACTGTTGAAATCTTTACTTTATTGGTTTAAAAGAATTCAGAAAACATCAAACTTTTTCTAGAAGTTGAAGTAAGGAAATTGATGTCAGTGACAGAAATATAGGGAATCTAATTAGAAGTCCCTGGGCAGTGGCTCATTAGTGTGGTTAGTTAGTAAATGAAATTTCAGCTGCAGTGAATTAGACTATGTGTCTTCAGTTATTTTTTTCTAAAAAGAATGACAAAATGTCTACAACTGTTTTTTGTTAGTAGAATATTTTTTTCCCTCAAACAAAAAATATTTAGGATCTTTTTGTCTTGAGGAAAGAAATGGCCATTTGGGGACAAATTTCCTTAAATGTCTGCATGGTAAACTTGGGTAAGTGAAACAAAAGCTATTTTTCTCCCATGAGGAAGAGGCTTTCATTTGTCTGCTAAGCTGCCTGGTTTTGCATGTTCCTTTTGTCAGATCCTTTAATTTTTTTTTTTTTAACCATTTGTGCCTGTTGATCAGATTTCTCAAAAGAACAAAACAAAAACAAAAAACAAAAAACACCAAAAAAATCAAAACCAAAACCAAACCAACCAAGTAAGCAAAACATTGAACAATAGTTTGGTGACAAATATTTAGAGTCAGCTGCAATGATTATTTATCAGCTGCTAAAATGTGACACTGTTTCCTTTTTTATGTTACCACGGATGTTTGTATCTTTGCCGCTTGAAATTTTATGGGTAATTTAAAGAGAGAACCAACAAGAGCTTGAATTCCAGTATTTCAGAAGTGTTCATAAGCAAGGTATGATAATTGGGCAATTAGAGCAGGATGTGATACTCTCCATCCTCTGGGTGTTAAATATTTTTTAGGTTATTTTAGAAATTTAGACCTTGAGCTCACTCACATCTGTCTGTAGAGACTCTGGCGTGTACTCACTGGGTTCTGTATACGCACAGGTTAGCCGTAATTTTAGTGTTTGGGGCCTGCAGGTTCAAACTGAGGAGACCCCTACAGCAGTTTTTAATAGGAGGTAACTCTTATTTTTTGGAGAGATTTTCGCTATAGGGCATGTGCGCTCGCCAGACAGACAAGAGAGAGACATAGAGAGAGAAAGCAGGAAATCACACCCCAGGGGGGATGGTCACACTGCAATCCCTTCTCCTCCATTTTCCTCTTGGGATCTTGGGCATGCACGCACACGCGCCCGGTGTAAGTTTTAAGCCACCGGGTCCGGGACGCGAACTGCGGTCAACTACGTGGGAGTCCAACGACATAGCCATTACGCTAACTAACTGCTGGTTCCCGGGGTAACTCATCTTTTAGGGGACATTAGGCAATGAGTGGGGACCCTTTTTGTTGTCACAGCTCCCACCTTAGGGAGGGAAGAGGAATAACTACAGACTCTACTGGGTATTAACCAGGGGTGCTAGTAATAAAAAATAAATGATAATAAAAAAAAGATTAATGCTAAGTGAAGCAAGCCAGACTATAAAAGACAGGCATTGTATGTCCCCACTTAATATATACTGACCGTCTGCATTCTATAGCAGAACGGGCAACTGTGGACACTAGAGACTATACAGGAGGGGGCGGGTAATAAAGAGTGGGATGGAGGGCATTAGGGAAAAATACATGTAATAGATACAAAAAAGAAAACTTATGTATTGATAATACATACGGTAATATCTTTGATCTGACTAATATTCACTGTATTCACGCTGGGAAGAACCATTTTGTATGCTGTAAAGATGTATAGTGATTAAATGTAAATTTAAACATGTAAAAAAATGGAGAAAAAAGAGACTTGTGATAATTATTCCCTAAATCTCCTTTTTTAAAAATTTCCATTTGTACTTTATTATGAAAGACTGTGGGTCATTGGCACATAGAACATTGTGTTATGGTTTCAGCAATAGATGCCTAAATTTTCCCTAGATGACTGGCTCCAAATATCAGTCACCAAAAGTGTTTTTTTCTTATTTACTGCCATCAATATTCTTTGATGTAGATTAAATGTATTTTTATTAAAGTGAAGAAAGAATCATGTGAGGTCTTGAGTGAAAAATCGAAAGCATCATGTTTTATCTGCATCCCATCACCTGGCAATGATAGTGCATGTGTGTGGCAAGAAACAGAAAACATAGAACACTGGGAGAAGAGAACTTCTGGACTGACCTGCCAGGCAGGAATATAGTAGGTGAGCCATACTGTGGACACTGAAGCAAATGAGTAAAGTGATGGGAAGGAAGACTCTTTCTCCTTGGAATATGGCTTCTTCGTTTTCTGAAGCTAAGAAGGAAAAGTTTCATTTGTTAACACAAGATATAATTCTTTTTTTAAAAAATAATTATTTTTATTTTTAACTTTATTTGTTATTATTTTTTGATTTGATTAGAGAGAGACAGACAAAAAGAGAGGGAAAGTGAGAAAACAAGACTCCAGGTCTGGGACTTGAACCATGGTCAGCCATGCGGGAGTCCAGGGCATGACTGTAACCACCATGCCACCTGCTGGCCACAAGTGTAGTTATTTATTATGTGCATTCTCTTCCTCTTTTCTAAACAATTTCCCATTGACAAAGGAAGGGAGAGGAAGATAATTTGGTCGCTAAGAAAAATGGACAATGTACCACTAAAGAGAAAGATTTTCTTCAAGTCATGAAAGATGGCGCTTGGCAAGAAACAGCAATTCAACTCAACTTTGCAGATACTACAAGCAACTGACAAATTATGTAAAACTTTGGTATAATTTGGTGCAAAAGTAATGTATAATGAATGACTTAGATAAACAAACCAAATGCTCAGGGAAATGTAAAATACACACAAAAAAGCAGGGGCAAGTATTCAAGATATATGATGTTCTACCTCACCTATTTTCCTGAGCTGCTAGAGTGTTAGAAACTGTGTTGTTCACACACTGAAATTCTGTGAACTCTTGCTGCGTATGATTTGCCTCTATGGCAAACACTGGAATAGAATATGGATGATCTGAAATCACCATGCCTTCTTCCACAATCTTTGGGGATATGGCTTCTGTGTGAGTTTGTGTGCATCTTCTTTTT